TTGTAACTCCGGACACCAGCCTAGCCTCCGATGGCGCCGAGAGAGTGCCATACTGACCATAGACTTTAACCACTGGTGGTCCATTAACTACTCCAGGGAGCCTCTCCCTGAGACCCCCACCTCAGGTCCACCTGCCTGCAACAGCCTCAGGACAGGGCAAACCAGTGTGCGACAGGGCCCCAAGGGTGTGGGCGCTGGGTCGGGACATGAGCTGTGTCAGGGAATGCCCCTGGACCAACACTGTGGGAGCCGAACTCCCCGGTCACGTGGACCCAGTCACAGACGAGGCCTGGCCAGGCCGTGCACCCCTGACCCAGGTAGGCCCACGAAAGGGAGTCCCTGAGCCCAGGGGTTACCGTTTCTGCAGGACGGTGACGAACTCGGTGAGCCGGTTGCGTTCCACCTCGGTGGCCTGCCAGAGAGCCTTGAGCTCTGTCACCTGGGCCTGCCAGCCCCTGTGTTCTGGGGAGTCCAAGAACCTGGGGACCAGGACAAAGGCAGGAGGAGGTCACTTGAGGGGTTACCTGAAGACATACTATGATGGTGGTGAAGAGTTGAAGGACGTTCAGGGGTCCTCAGGGATGGCCAGAGAGGAGGAAGCCACCCCAGTCCCCCTGACCCCCTGGTCTTCCACCGCTGGCTGCTCCTCAGCCACCATTCTTGGCCCTGCTGAAGTCTCCAGGCCTCCTGTCGCCGGCTCCACACCAGGCCCCACCAGGGCACCTCTGTTCACCCAACCCCTCACAGGGGCCTGGAATAAGTCTGGCGGCCATAGTAGTTGGCTTTTGGGGACCTGGGGTGTTCTGGGTACCTGTGTGGCCTGGGGCCTGGCCTCCCTGCCAAATGCCAGCCTGCCCCAGCCCTCTCGCAGATCCTGACCTGGTCCCAAGCCCCGCCCACTCTGCCAGAGCCTGGACAGGTGGCTTTGTGAGCTGGTCCACTTTCTCCAGCCCTGATCCGGACCATCACTGCTTCCCTCCTTACCACTGGGCCTGCCTAGCAGCCCTCCCCAGTGGCTGGGGTCAGGACAGAAGCTACACCCCAACCCCCCAGAGGCCACGTGGGAGTCCCAAGCTGCTCTCTGCTTTGCCTTCACCTTTCCCAGTGAGACCCTGATGACCCTGGCTGTGCTCAGCATCACAGGACACAGGCCAGCCCAGAGGCTGGCGCTCCGTGGTCTTGGGCAGGTTCTTCCCCTCTCTGGGCCCTGGTGGTCCCTCTGCACAGGGTGGGCCCGGTGGAGAGGGCCCTGAGGACGCAGGCTCCATGCTCTGACCAAGGCCTTGCTGCTCTGCTCAGAGTGTGGTGTCCGCGTCGGCGGCCGGGGCATCGCCTGAGAGCTGGTTGGAAATGCAGGGTCCCAGTCTCTGGCCCAGACCTGCCGCCGACTCAGAACCCACATCTAACCTGGCAGAGCCCCGCTGATCCGTGTGAGCACCACAGTTCGGACAGCCCTACTCCAGTCACCTCCTTGACCTCCCGTGTGGGGGAGCACCCTGCCTTACTCCAGGCACCCACCAGTCTCCAGGCCATCCCTGATGGAAACCTTCTCTGGGTCACCCCCGCCCCACGCACACCCGTCCTGGCACTGATGGGAAGGGACCGCAAGCTCCATGAAGGCAGGGCCCGCCCGTGCTCAGGTTCAGTGAACATTTGCATTGTGGAAGGAACCAGCTTGAGAACCAGCAGGCTGGGCCCAGGAGCACATGGGCCCCTGCACCCCTGTGGCATGCCCAGGTCCCAGCCACACAGGCTGGAAGGGACCTCCAGAGGTCATCCTGTCCACCTCCCCGGTCCTCCTCCTGTGACTACAGCCTCGGAGACAGAGCCTGTCCTTCTCTGTGGCAGGAGGAGAAGTGTGGTGGGAGCCCCCTGGCTCAGAGTTGGCCCCCTCCCCCCCCAGATGCCCTGTGACTCTAGGCTGCTGAGCGGGGCAGCTGCAGGGCTGGCCTTGGCCATGGTCCCCGAGCTGCCGGATGCCAGGCCAGAAGTGTCGTGGGCACTTCCTGGGAAACGGAAGCCCTGAGAGGACCAAATTGCCCAGCAAGTCAAAGGTGGGCCTAGACCCGTGGTCGGCAAACTGCGGCTGTTGAGCCACATGCGGCTCTTTGGCTCCTTGAGTGTGGCTCTTCCTAAGCCTTAGGAGTGCCCGAATTAAGTTAATAACAATGTACCTACCTAGATAGTTTAAGTTTAAAAAATTTGGCTCTCCAAAGAAATTTCAGTTGTTGTACTGTTGATGTTTGGCTCTGTTGACCAATGAGTTTGAGGGGCTGGCAGCAGGGGCAGGGTTCCAGGGCACAGTGGGCAGGGCTCGAGGCAGGACAAAGCCACCCTTTGTCCGTGAGCAGCACGAAGAACAAAGAGCCCATCTGAGAACAAGGCTGGCTCTGTCACAGAGATGGGGCCAGGGGAGGAGGGGCTATCAGTGCCTGCAAGTGGGGAGGCATAGGATGCGAAATGCTCCCCCAGAGGCTGACTCTCAGCGGGCAAGCGAAAACAAGGGGAGGGGCTGGGCCCTGGGCCCTGGAAGATTCCCGTTCAGACTGCAGGAGCAGGGACACTGGACTGCGAGTCGGAGGCCGGGACTGGTTCCAAGCCTCTCACCTGGGACAAGGCACTCCAGGTCCTCCCTGCCCTCCACGTCCTTATGTAACCTTGGGAGAGTTCCCGGGCTTGGCCTGGCCTCAGTATCCCCTCCTTTTAATGGGATGGCGCTCCCGGCTGCGTCAGGGATGGGAAGGACGAAACGGGCCCGGGGATGCTGGGTTCTTACCTGGGTGAGGCCCCATGAGGACTGGGCGGGGAAGGCCACGTGCGAGCAGATTCCACGAGTGTGTGGCCCAGGCTGGTCACCGAGCTGTGTGAAGGCAGAAGGGGCTCATCACCGCGGGGAGGCAGGCTGGCCCTGCCGGGCCCCACCAGCCGGGCGGGGAGCCGGGGGACAGGCTCAGTGTGGACCACTGTTTTGTCACATTATCACCTGTGTGATGACTTCATCCCTTGGTGCCGGGCGGGGAGCCGGGGTAGCAGGGCCCGGAGCCCCGAGGAGGTGGCCAGTGCTGGCCCTCGCAGCCGCCTGTGGATTGGCTGGCTGCTCTTCTTTGGAGAGCTCGTGCTCAAAACGAGAAAGCGGGAGACGTCAGAGCCTCGAACGATCGAGCACAGGTCTGTGCTGTGAGTCCCAGAAGCAGGTGAGTCCTGAGAGGACTGTGCAGGGAGCTGCAACCGCAGGCTCCGCGAGTGGCGGGGGCTGGGCCGCCTGCCCTTCAAGCAGATGCGGGGCCAGCGGGCAGGAGGGGCCCACGTGCTGGGAGGACGACGCCACAGCCATCTCCACATTCCCAGCCGAGGCAGAAGCCTCCTTTCTGCTGAGTCAGTGACATTCGCTTCCCCACCCCTGCAGCCCACGGGCCACTTACCGAGGGGATCTGAGCCTGCTGTGGTCCCCCATCGAGGCCGAGGCCGGGGACTTGGCCAGGCCCGCGTCCTCTGGGACCTCGGTGTGGGCGGGGCCGACCTCGGGCCCACCGGACCCCTCGCTAGCGCCTTTATTCCGATGATACTGCAGGGAACAGACACGGGTGGATGCTCAGGGTTTGGCTCTGAGGCCTGGGCAGGCAGGAGGGGGCCTTGGCTGGATTCCGGGCCTTTCAGGGAACATGAAAGAGGCTTCTCTTCTGGAGTGAGACGCGAGGCCTGTCTGGTGCCGGCGCTCCTTGCATGATAATGACATTGAATAATGCCTCTCTTCAGAAGGGAGCTGCCCGGTGCGAGGCTGGACGGGGCCGGAGAGCTGCTCTACATTCTGGTCCCAAAGGGACACACGGCCCGCGGGCGATCAGAGGCTGGCGTTCTGAGTGGGCCCGTCGCTCTCGGCCACCCCACCCTCGCCGCCAGCTGGAGAAACCTGAACTTCCAGACACCTGTGGCCAGAGAGGCGGCCGGGCCCCCATCCCTCCCCCGCCCTCCCTCCTCTGGAGAGCAGTGAGGCCTGCCTGAAGGACCCCAGCAAGGAGTGGACAGCCCCACCCGTTCCAAGAAAACCTGTCAGGTGGGCAGTGCTTGCCCCCAGCCGACTGGTGACCTTTGAGGGAAGGGTCAGCCCCGTTTGTGTGCCCGGAGCCAGGAGCGCTGAGGTGGGGGTGCTGTGTGCCCTTCAGACTTCACTCCCCAGTGAGCCTGGGCGAGAGGCAGGGGGAGGGCCGCGAGGAGATGCCCCCACTCACTGCCACGCATAGTGTCCCCAAGCCTTCCTCCTGCCCCCGGCTCTCCCTCAGCCCGATCCCGTGGCCCAGGCTGGCCTGCCTCTGGGGAGGGATGGCTATAGGACAAACCGCCCACACCAGCCGGGGGCTGAGGGCTCCCTGGGCTCCCGTGCCTCCCACGGCACCAGGCACCCTGGGAACAGGGCAGGGATGCTCTGAGACACGCCTTTGGTTGAGCTGGCCGAGAGGCTCCCATCCCTGGGAAATCTGTGTGGATGTCAAGGAGTCCTCCCCAGAGGTGACCAAAGCCCCTGCCCCCGGCACCACCGGCACCACAGGAAGGGGCCAGAGCCCTCGTGCCTGACGCCAAGCAGCCCGGGCTGCACCCTCAAGGGGTCGGCCAGGGCAGCGTATCTTCAGGAGCTCACGCCTGAGATGCCTTTACTGAGCATCCACTGTGATGCTGCTGCCATGGCCGGTGTCTCCTCAAGGGGAGAAAACTGGAAGAAGATGGCGCAGTGGGACGAGTCTGGCTCGGGGATGCACAGGGCGTTCGGAGAGTGCCCAGGAGGGGTACATAACAGAGAACGGGGGCCCTGGAGCTTCCCAGGGGGGCGCCTGCTAGGTAAGACCTAACGGCTGAGAGGCAGCTGGCCAGGCAGGGTGTGGGGGAGGGACGGGAAGGCGTGAGCGTCAGGCACGCGCACAGGCCTGGAGCGGGGAGAGAGCAGGGCCGAGTGGGGAGCTGAATGGCATTGCTGTGGGCAGAGTGTGCAGGAACCGGAGGGGCGAGGAGAAGGCGACGGAGGGGTGGCAGCAAGAGCTGGTCACGTGAGGCCCTGCCGGCTGGATGAGGAAGTGTGGCTTCCTGCTACCTGGGATGTGAGTGTGAAGGCTGCTCTCCAGCCACCACCTGGGCCCATGAGGAGGATGGGATGAGCTGGAAGGAGCCTGGGCCCGTGAGGACTGGGTGGTGGGGAGCCAGGGACAGGTTTTCTGCAGAGCAGGGGGACAGTCAGGTTTGTACCTGGGAGAGGACAGGTGTGTGCAGGATGAGCGGGGGGCCAGGTGGAAGCCGGCAGGGTGCAGCCTGAATAAAGGCGGGCGGAAGGGTGCGGACGGGGCTGAGATGTCTCTGGATGGCGGACGGACGCGCCAGGACTGGGAAACGGCTGCTGGGCCGCGCCGGTGCCCTCCTCACCTGCACGCTGAGCTGCCCGATCTCCAGCTCCAGCCGCCGCACCTTGGCCTCCCGCTCGGCCACCATGGCCTGCAGCTGGGCCACCAGGCTGCTGCTCTGCTGGGCCTCGCTGTTGAGCTGCTGGTCCAGGCGGTGCTGGGAGGCTCGCGTCTTTTCCTCCTGCAGACTCAGGCTGCCCAGAACCTCCTGCAGCTGCTTCAGCTGGACCTGGGGGCGAGCAGGAGGGCAGGCGAGGGCCAGCCACGGCCCCTGGGTAAGGAAGGACAAGGGGCGACCGACCCCCCCACCCCACCAGCACCCCACCATGCCCTGTGCCTGCAGGGGCCTCACGGGGACACTGTGTTCCCTGGGAAAGCACTCGGACAGGTGGGGGCCAGGCCCTTTTCCTCTCCTCAACTTTCTCCTCCCTGAGGTCGGGGCCAAGGACGTCCAAGGGGCTCTGGGGACAATGGGGAGCAGCTCAGATGGTGGCCCCTCAGCCAGTGCGGGGGGGACATTTGGGCAAAACGAAACCCTACCCCCCTCTGCTGGGAGACCGCCCTTGCAGGCAGTACCCGGCACCCTCGCCAGGAATCCTTCGGCACCTGCTGGAGGCCCCATCCCTGAGATGCCCCGGAGACACTCTGAGGTGGAAGCGTCCTGCCTACGGGCCAGGAAGGACCGTGTTGGTGACACGGAACAGGAGGGGGCTGCTGTCTCACCTCACCATGGAGGGAGATGGGGCTCGGGGAGCCCAGGGGCACTGCTGGTGAATGGCAGGGCTGGGCTGGGCTGGGTTGCAGCTCTCATCGTGCCACCTTCAGTGACAAAGGATGGTGGCACACTGGGCCCTCAGAGGACACCCAGCCCCACACCTTATTTCAAAACAGGGAGCTGAGGCTCAGAGCGGGAAGGCAACCTGCCTAGGATCACATGGTGAGGTGTCAACAGAGGCAGGCCCGGATCTCAGATCTCCTGTGGCCCACCATCCCGAAGTGATCACGGACTCGGGGCGGTGCCTACGCCTGCATCCGTTCCCCCAGGTACCCCGGTGAGCCAGGCATGACCACCGAGGACAAAACTTGGAATTCAGAGTCAAAATTCCGGGTGCCGCAGGCCCCGAAAAGAACAGGCCAGGCTGGGGTCAGAACCGCAGAGCGGCGCTGCTCATCAAAGGCTTCGCAGGCAGATAAACTCGGTTGTGTGGTCTTGGGTGACTCATCTAGCCAACTGGAGCCTTAGTTTCCCTGTCTGTGAAACCGGGTTGTAATACAGACCCTCGGGGTTATCTCGGGGACTAACCATAACAAACTGCTCCCCAAGGGCCCAGAGGGGAGGGGCTCCGCGTTGCCGCACAGACAAGAATCTGTGCTGGCCCCTCAGTTGTCCCTCCCATTTCCCCGATGAAAAATAACCCAAGTGTCATCCTATTCCTCCGCCCTCGCCCGTTTCTGTCTCCTTTGGCGTCTGCAGGCCTGGTGGCTTGTGCCTGACATCCGTCTCATACACCATGACCTCTAGACGCCCTTGGGCAGCTTCTGAGCTGCTCCTGCCCCCGGGGTGAGCATCTGGAGGCCATGGGCTGCGGGGTCATCCAGGTGGCATTTGGGGTCCAGTGCGGGCTCTCAGGGGCTGGGGCCTGGCCGATCGCAGGCTTCTGGGAGGGGCCGTACCATGAGGGCATCGATGAGCTCGTCGTCATGCCGGCCCTTCTCCACTAGGGTCCCCATCTGACTCCTAAGGGTCTTCACTTCGCTCGCCAGCACCTTGTTCCGGGACCTCACGCCCTCAAACTTCTTCTTCAGCTCTTCGAGCTCTCTCTGCAGGGCGTCCCGCTCGGCAGCCAGTTTCTGGAACCAGAAAGTGCAGCCCTGGGCAGGCGGAGCGGGACCCCCAGCACATCGGGTGCCTTGCTCACTGGGAGGCGATGCCCGGACGGGAAGAGGACTTGTCCAAGGCCATAGAGCAAGTCAGTGGAGCCGGGGCCCCGACTCCAGCCCTTGCCCGAGCACAGGGCAGACAGCACCGTGGATGCCAGCACTCCTTCCTCCGCTCCAGCTCACAGGTGCCCAGGAGCCTGCCCCCGCTCTGCCAGAGTCAGGCTGAGAGGAAGCACATGGCCACCTCAGGCTCTGTCCTCCAGGGGTGGTCCTCCCCCCAACCCCACCCGCCTCCCGCGGCCCCTTCCCCCTGCTGGGATGAGAGGAGAGCTGTGCTTCCATGATGCAGGCCCCGGGGGTGATACCAGGCCGCCCACCTGCCCCAGCGCTGCTCCTTTAAGGCCATCTGGGCCCTGCACACCTCTGGGGCCGGGACACTTCCCCTCTCCTTTTACAATGGAAGTTTCAGATCCAAACCTCCCAATCGGCCAGGATGGGGCCACCCAAGGCCATGGAATGGGCTCGGCCTGAGGACCCAGTCAGGCGGCTCCAGCTGATCTCAGGATGTGAGGAACATACACAGCGTGACCCCAACCCCCGGGTCTCCTGCCTCTCAGGGGTGCCTCCGAGTCCTTGCAGGGGCGTCATGATCCCCGGGCCCCACCGCCCTTCCCCGGGGCGTGCATTACCTCCCAGCCTTCCTGCTTTTCCCTTTCCAGCTTGCGGATCCTCAGCAGGTTTTTCTCCTGTGCCGTCAGCTTCCTCGGGTCGGGACAGACGGACAGCTCGTCACTGGCTGCTCCCACAGACTGGCTCTGGGTCTGTCCCAGCTGCTTCTCAAGCTCTCGAACCTGAGGGGGGTTAAGACTCGCTGTTCCATGGCCGGTTTGCCGTCAGACTCGACTGCTCGGAGGGCCACCCTGAGGGGTGACGGGGGCCCCACCAGGCAGAGGACACCACAGTTCCAGATGGACGTAGAAGCCCCAGAGGAAGGGAGGCTGGGGAGGGGAGGGTTCTGAGGTGGCACCTTGAGCAAAACAAGAGAAGACACTAGAGAGGGTCAGCTTGGAAATGGGGAGCATCAAAGTCAATGAGAAAGATCGCCCCGTCTCCGAAGGCCTTGAGACCGAGAAGCAGATGTGTAGCCCCAGGAACCGGGGAGGGAGAGGACAGAGGACCTCAGTTAGAAGAACTCTGACAGACTGATCACCCAAGACGTGTGTGGTGTGCTCCTCGGGCGGCCCGGGGTCCTGGCCACGTGAGAGAGATGCCGCAGAGGGAGGGCAGGGACGGGAGGCTCGGAGGCCAGCTCGGAGCCTCACCGAACTTCTCTGAATCTCAGGTCTCTCGTCTGTGACATGGCCCTACGGGTATACCCTGAGCTTGTCTGAGCCCGGGACCCCCAAGATGCTCCTTGGAATGACAAATCCTGGGGCCCACTCCAGACCAAGAAGTCAGAGCACCAGGGGCAGGGCCTGTGGGACCTTCGTGGAAAAACAAGTGCTTTGGGAAGCCCTACGGTGGCCCAGGGGCAGCCCTCAGCACTGGTCCAGCTCTGCTAGGCTCTCGGCAAGTGGCAGGCGGGTGGCTTATCACCCTGGGGTTGGAGTGGGTAATTCCCAGGGTCCTTCTAACCCTGGTTCCCATGTCGACATAACATAAATGATGGAACAAAGTTGGGTAGACCCGAGCAGGTGGGGGTGGGCTGGTGGGGGGGCAGCAAAATTCACCAGGCTCACTGGCAAAGGGTAGCAGTGAGGCCGTGAAAGCGCATGTGCGGTGATTCCATTGAGCATTAAGGAATGCAGGACTACTTTTAAAAGTTTATTTACGTAACTTAACGACAACAATGATGAACAACAACTTTACAAATGTTATTTCACTGAGCCCCCAACCACCCATGAGAAAAGGACCGTCGCCTCCATTTCACAGGTGGGGAGACTGAGGCACAGAGAAGGGATTTGCCCAAGGTCACAGAACTTGTTGACCAGCGGCTCAGGCCACACTCAGACCCGAGTCTCTTGAACCCCCAGGCCCCACACTGGTCACTAGTGATAGTTTCCTGAGGGCCTTTCCCTCCTCGGGTTGGTTTCAAGGATCAGACAGGAGCCCCCGAGGGTAAAAGCCACCCAGGAGCTGTGACCCCGAAGACCCTGGGATGAGGGCAAAGTGCTCGGCAGCTGTGGTAGTTTTACACCGACTGGTGTTTCTTGGTTTGAAGACAAAAAGGAGAAAATTAAGCACAGCTAACCTCGGTCCAGCGCTTCCTCGGGCCTGGCCCTGTGCTGAACACGTTACACACCCGGCTCCTTCAGTCCTCCCAACGGCCCTGTGGGGGAGGTCCTAGCAGAGTCCAGTGTTTGCCGATGAGGAAACTGAGCACAGAGAGGGGGAAGAACTTGCCCGAGGCCACACAGCTGGTGAGGGGAGAGCTGGGATTTGATCCAAGCAGTCGGACTCCCCCTGCTCTGAACCTCCAGGGCGGCTCCGAATGTTTAGAACAGAAAGAGGGAGACGAAGCTAAGTTTTTACTGGGTATTAAAACTTTCAGAAGTCTACGAGCATCTGGACAAAACTGGGAAAAGCCTACAAGTGCGCCAGTCACGCAAGTTTACACGAACTGGGGGGAAACATGCCTGGAGTCGAATCAGTCAGAGGCTCTGGCTCTGTGACGCGCCAGTGCCTGCCACATGGTAACGGTTACATAAATGCTTGTTCACTAAACGACAAATTAAAATCAGGCTGGTTGGGGAGAATGGGAAACGAGGACCCTGCAGGGGGCCTTTTGGGGGCCTGTGTCTCTGATGTGGGTCCATGGGGGTCTTTCGGGGGCATTTCAAGCCTCTGTCCAGGGCCCGGAGAAGTGTGATGACTCACTCACCTTGCTCTGCAAAACGAGAATCTGTTGAGCCCGACCTCTCCAGGTCCCTGGCGAGGACAGAAGCTGTTGGATGTTCACATCTTCCCCAACCTCGCAGGCCAGCACCTGGAAAGGGCGCGGCCTTCAGTGTGGCTGGGAGAGAGGGCCCCGCGTGTTCGGAGGCAGAGCGGGTGCGTGGGGCTCCCAGGAGGCCCGGCCTCTGCCCGCACAGCCTTCCTCCACCCCAGAGGCCAACTGGCCACCTCC